TTGAAGCAGCTTACCACGTACCCTTTCTTATGCATATGTATCTAAAGGCACATGCTAGGATCTTTAATCAAAAGTAGATTGCAGAACAATTAGGACACCCTTATGGGGAAAAGCAATAGGCAATTAGCAAGATACGCACAAAAATGTATATGTGCAGCACATACATAAGACAGCTGTTTGGTTAGTTGCACAAAGATTTAAGAAGGTAAACAAAAAGACTGAACAAGTTGCTTGCATTTCGGAAGAACGGAGGAGGAGGTACAAACGTAATAAATTGATAAGGCAACTAGGGCTAGGATTAGGATTGGTCAAGTAGGGACCAAGTAGGACGTGCTGTATGGACCAAAGTTAACGAAAAAGACTTAGCTATTTGTTTTTGGATCAGAATTTTCAGTTTGCTTGATTGTGTCTGACCTATATACTAAGCCCTAGCTCTCAAGCCATGCCTTCCTAAAAAGACAAACAGCAGGGAATGGCTGGAGGAAAGTGGTAGGATGAATCTTGATCCTTTCTGACCCAGAAGAGAAACAAGATATGTGCCATTCTTCAAATTGCAAAGCAATACAAAAATTCTGAGAAAAGAACCAGCTTAAGCATATCAAATTTGAGGGAGAAAAAGGCTTTTGCAAAACCATTCTTTTAAGAAAAAACTAGATATCAGATAAAGGCTTTTCTACAAGAATCAGGAAAAAAAAATAGTATGGGTTGTAAATGGTGAGCATTGTCTAGGTCAAAAGTGCAGAGTGTAACAAGAAAGCTGTGTTCATATTTTGACAGTTTATTATGTTAATAACTTAGTATTCCATCTAGAAGGCCTTGTTATTAAGGCTAATTAAAAGATAAAAGATAATTAACTTTAGTTGATGCAATGATGACAAATCAATCAGTTCTGTCCCAGGTTAAGGGTCTATATCTTCATTTTTATTGCTTAATTGGCAAGCAGAAAATTCATTTTCTCTTTGTTTAAATTAGTGTGTTGTGATAAATTATGGATCTAAAGAAAACAAGAGTTATTTCCTTCTTCTAAGCAACTTTCTGGTTGAGATGAAGAACAATTACAAGCTTTAGCTTCTGCTGAATTTATTCCTGACCCATAAAAGAAACTAAGGAAGAAGGTTATGGAGAGTCACTCACCACTATAAAAATTCCCATGATTTAGTCTTAGAACTGAATTTTACGCAATCAGAAAATAATTAAAAACCTCAGTGATTGATTCACAGGAAACTAGAAATAGTCTGCTTGAAAATTTGCCTTCCCAAACAGTTCAGAAGCAGAAGTTCTTGCTAATGCTCATTGGGCAACAAAGCAAAAATGTATAAAATTATTCTTGTTATCGTTCAATTCTAGTTTGAAGATCTTTGATTCAGACCACAAACCAAACAAGTAGCAGACCAATATTTTTCTTTAAGCATTTTTTAAAAAGAGATGGGGCTCTGTGGCTTGGGGAAGGGTTTCTGTGGTTTCACTACATATCTGGAAATTTTTGTAGCACTGTTTTATAGTACTGTTTCTGTTTTTCCAGTTTTCTTTCTGTTGTTGGTTTTGTTTTTTGTTTTTTGTAGTTTTCTTTTGGTTCTTCTTTTTTAGTCTTTTTTTAACCTTAATAATTTTCTATTTTTCTTCTTGGGATTATTCATGGTTTCTGTAGTTCTTTAAAAATTTTGTCTCATTATGTAATGGTGTGTGGGAATGACCTTGGGAGACTGGGCCCAGAGACACTGCCTACCGAACAGTCAGATAAGAGACAGATAGCCTGCAGTTGGATAGTGGGCACGGCAAGAGGCTCAGAAGAGACCTTCTCTAATTTGTAAAGGAGTGTAAAGGAGACGGGGGGAGAATTGTTCTTTCAGACTTGCAAGATTCTGTTAATGTAGCCTTACATTAAAATTAGCTCATCTGGTTGTGTTTCCTGTCTGGTCTACCTGGAAAGGCTGACACATTAAATGAAAATTCTTAGGTTCTGCAAACAATGCTTTGGGGAATGTTTTTTCATGCTTATATTATTGCACATGGTTTATGGAGGGGAAGGGCATTAAACACCTAACAAGAAAAAGAACTTTTGAGCACAGATGCAGCACAACGTATTCCAGAACTACATAAAACTTGCTATGTGTGCTACACTGGAATCTAACTTCTGTGTGTTTCATTCAGAATATTTGAATCCTATAATGTAAGCATATTGGTAGCATGGAGAAAAACCTGGTAAATGATTGGCTTTCAACTGAAACTGCAACAGCTGAGTAATGCCATTTTTACTATTAAAGATTCTCATGATAAAATAAGTACAGTGGTACCTCTACTTACGAACTTAATCTGTTCCGTGACTCTGATCGCAAGTCG